GGGGATACTTCCCCACCAGTGGAGACACCTGGGAGCAGCGATGAGGAGCTGGGAGCAGCGATGAGGAGCTGAGTATGCGTAGTGCAGATCTGAGAAGACTGCTCTCGCTGGACAGAGCGGGTAATGGGTTGGGTAGGTCTAGCCCAGATCCACCCAAACAGGAAATGTTTAGAGTTTGAATGGTAAGTGTCATGGCCACTGGACCTGTGGTGACAGTGGTAAAGAGAGCACTGAAAGACACAGACATTTTAACGATAGCAAAGATGAATCAGCAAGAAAGAAAGCAATTAGCTTGAGCTTGTGGTGAAACCATACCAACTAAACTACGGCATTAGGAAAAAGGTCTTTGTGGAAATAGGCTGGGAGGAGCTGAATTTCGGTCTCCCCGATGTAGAAAATCAGGATGGACACACACTGCTGTCCAGTTGTTGGGAGGCAACTCCCTAGATGAATGGGTCATGTTGCGACTCCTTAATCTGGTGGCTAAACCAGCAAGTTGATGGCTCTGTGGTGATGCCAGGACAGGGCCAGCTAAGCTCAGATCATTGAGGGGGCCAAGGGTCTTGCCTGCAGGAGGGGAAGCCGTCAGTAGTGGGCTGGGCCACCTGGAAGATGGAGCAGGGTTAGGAAAGTACAAGCTACAGAGGCCAAGGGAAAATTTCAAGAAGAAGCGGGAGTCCCCAAAGACTCTGTCCCCTAAGAGTGAATAGTGGTTGAGGACTGAACAGATACTATTAAACTGGTCCCAAAGGGGCCATCAGGGACTTAATAGGTTCTTGCAAGTTTGTGTCCTGATAAATTTGCTCTGGAACTTAGTTATGATCTAATGTCCATTTTAAGTTTTTTTAATTTCCTAAAGGTATGAAGTCAGAAAGGGTTTGAAATGTGTATACTTTTGTTACAGCTTTTGGGAGGACTGGTGGGTGATACATGTGAAACACCTTAACTGTATGTTACTCTCCAAGTTTCAGTCTGTTGCTATAACAAACACCACGGCCAAAAGTCCTTTGTGGAGAGGAAATGGTTTGTTTCATCTTACACTTCTGAGCCATCATTGAGGGAAGGCAGGGTAGGGACTCAAGGCAGGAGCCTAAAGGCAGGACTGCTTGATGTTGTGTGCAGCAAGGAACTTGCTCCCAGCTAAGGAAGGACAGCAGGAACCATGGAGGAATGGTGTGTGATGGCTTGTCGCAGGCTCATGCTTAGCTAGTTTTTTCTCCAGCTCAGGACTGCTTGCTTATGGATGGTACTGCCCACAGTGGGCTTGGCCCTCCTACATCAATTAATAATCAAAAAAATTCCCCACAGACATGCCCCACAGACAGGCCATTCTGATCAGGGAAATCCCTCAATTGGGGCCCCTTCTCAGATGACCCTAGGCGGTGTCAAATTGACAGTTAAAGCTAACTAGGATAATTGCTTGTACATGTGATTTCTATGTTGATATTATGTAACTAGATACTGTATTAGTTACTTTTCTCATTGATGTGACAAAACAGATGACAGAACCAACTTAAGGGGGGCAGGGTTTATTTTTGACCCACAGTTCAGGGGATAGGGTTTATTAAGGAAGGGAAGGCATGGCAGAAGGGAGCATGAGCTGGCTGGTCACATGGCTTCCACAGTCAGGAAGCAGAGACACATGAAGGCCGGACTTCACCTTGCTTTCTCCTTCTTATTCAGGCTAGGACCCCAGCCTGTGGGGTAGTGCTGCCCATATTCAGGGTGGATCTTCCATCTTTAGCTAAACCTCTCTGGAAACGCACCTCACAGACGTGCCTAGAGGTGTGTCCCCTAAGTGATTCTAAATCCAGTCACGTTGATGATGAAGATTAACCATTGCAGATGTACACAAATATTTAACTCTAAGGATATCCACCAGAAAATTCCTTGCATTGTAAATGGTATTAGAAAAAAATTTAAATCACAACAGAGAGAATTCATCATGTAAAGGGAATTCTGAGAGCTATTAGAAATGCTTGAAAAGAATATTTTTTTAATATTCTTCTTAGGCAATTCTCATGTAGAAATAACCATGATATAATATCAAGTGATTAAAAGAAGAGAAAATATATGCAGTGTGATCCTAATTTTGTTTTAGAAAGGTATTCATCTGTGTATACAGTGGTGCATACAAGTGCACATGCACATTTGTGTGCACGATTCAGCTAATAAACAAACATTCATCTTTTAATAATCATTAAAAAGGCCAGTGGGATTTAAAAAATGATTTATTTTTATTTGTACAAGTGTTTTGATGGCCAATGTTTACTGGTGTGTGTGTGTGTAGTTCCCCCAAAGGCCAGAAGAGGGCAATAGAACCACCTTGTGGGTGCTGGGATTTGAACCTGGATCTTCTGGAAGAACAGCAAGTGCGCTTAATGCTTGGGCCAGCCTTTAGCCCCAATAGAATTTTTTTTTTTTAATGAGAAAGAAGATATTGAATAGACAGCAAACAAGAGACTGCTAGTGTAGGCTAGGGCTTCTCTGGAAACTTATCTCTGGTGTTTATAAATTCCTAATGCCGTGTGGGCTCATGCATGGTCTGGAAGCATGTGTCAAGAAGGCAGGTCATTCCACAGCTGAGTATCACATATGTTTGACTACGTAGTCTATGTCTGTTCAATAAGACATATTTATCTATCACAGTTGGATGTCATAGCCATAACAAATTTCAATGTCTTTCCAAACACGCCCCTATTAGTTGGTATTGTCTGGAGGAACGGAACTGGTAGACTGAATGTATATTACAAAAGGGGACTTATTAGATTGGTTTACATGGTGTGGGCTGGGTAGTCCATCAGTGGTTACACAGGAGAAGCTAAGAACTTAGAAGCTGCTCAATCTATGAGACTACATGCCTCAGTGGCTCCGTGTGTTGCTAGAGGCCTGGAGGATTCCCAGAGAGCTGCTGGTCTTTATATCAGAAGGCCAAAGAAGTTGAGCTCTGTTGGGTCGGCAACCCCAGTGGGATAGGTGCGTTCAGCAGCAAGAAGCAATGCTGAGCAAAAGCACATGCTTCTCTTGTCCCTCTGTATATCTGTTACTGCCCTCTCTGGGGACGTAGGGTCACAACCTGTGCTCCAACCAGCCCAGATCAGTTACCTAGCCTCAGTAAGCCAATTAAAAGAGCCAAACTAATAATGAGAGACAGAAGAAGGAGATTTATTCAATGTGGTCACATGATGAAGAAGAACAAAGAGGTCCAGAACCCGCAAGTCTGTCTTTAGGTCCTAACATGAGAGTAAAGTTTAAATAGAAGATAAGAGACTATGTAACTAAGCTTTCCAGCCAAAGTGTGGTTTCCCACCCACCATTGTCCCAGCTCCCGTCTCTCCTCCAAGGTTGTCTGACAAGTTTCAAAGCTTTCTCTGGCGACATTATCTGGTTCATCATCTTCGACCTGCCTGTCTCAGGCTTGCTTGTCTCTGCTTGTGTTTGTACAGGTTATGGCCTGGAGGTGGACATGTGGTCTGCAGGTGTGATCCTCTACATCCTCTTGTGTGGCTTCCCCCCTTTCCGCAGCCCTGAGAAGGACCAGGATGAGCTCTTCAACATCATCCAGCTGGGCCATTTCGAGTTCCTTGCCCCTTACTGGGACAGCATCTCTGATGGTGAGATTTGGGGCCTTCCCATGTAGGAAAGAGGGATGTGAGGCTTCTTCCAACTGTTTGAAAAGGTGGCATGGAGAGGTGTTTAGGGTGTGTGTGTGTGTGGAGAGCTTGGTGTGGTGTGTTCAGCTGTCCTCATGCATGGATGAGGGACTCTGAGGATTCTCAATAAATCTGTCCTTCTGACCTCTGAATCCTCTGGGAACTTAGACGGGGTAATGTTGTATTTACTTTTGCTGGGGAGACGTTGTCCTGTGCACGCAGGGTAAATACATACTTGTGTCTCCTTCTACAGTGTCAGAATTTATTGAGTAACAATAAATTCACAAAGCAGTTTCAGTGGCAGCAATTTGCTGGATAATTGTGCTTCCCTTGGCAGTCTGGCCAAGGTGAGCCCATGTTCATTTATTCCAGCTTAACTACTAATATTAACTCCCATGTCATGTATCACACAGTAAATACACACATAACATAGACATATACACATATATATTAATTGCTAATTAGAAGAGATATAAAAGGTTAAAGAGGGTTGCAGGAGAGTTTCAAGAGGTTTCAGAGTGGGGTGTTAGAAATGTAAATAGAGTCTATATTGATAAGACAAGCAACCCAAATTAGATGCTGGGAAGGGGCTGCTGTTGTGAGTCAGTCTACAGAGAGTCACAGGTTTGAGAGGGAAGTTGCAGAGTTGGGTCTAGCTGTAAGGCAGAAGGGTAGGATCAGGTCCAGAACCAGAGCAGGTGGATGGATAGAGGGCAGGTCCAGATGCATGAGCAGGAGGACGGGCAGGTCCAGATGTGAGCAGGAGAACGGGAAGACCCAGATGCATGAGCAGGAGGACAGGTAGGTCCAGATGTGAGCAGGAGGACGGGCAGGTCCAGATGAGAGCAGGAGGATGGGCAGACCCAGATGTGAGCAGGAGGACAGGCGGGTCCAGATGTGAGCAGGAGGACGGGCAGGTCCAGATGTGAGCAGGAGGATGGGAAGACCCAGATGCATGAGCAGGAGGACAGGTAGGTCCAGATGTGAGCAGGAGGACGGGCAGGTCCAGATGAGAGCAGGAGGATGGGCAGACCCAGATGTGAGCAGGAGGACAGGCGGGTCCAGATGTGAGCAGGAGGACGGGCAGACCCAGATGTGAGCAGGAGGATGGGCAGGTCCAGATGTGAGCAGGAGGATGGGCGGGTCCAGATGTGAGCAGGAGGACGGGCGGATCCAGATGTGAACAAGAGGATGGGCAGGCAGCAGTTGAGTTGCATCAACAGAGGATCAAGGCATCCTGCATCAACAGAGGGCTGAAGCCCTGGGGACAGTCAGAAGTTTTCTGCCTGTGTCCTTGATGCACACAACACAAATCAGATGACAGGTTGGTGAGGTGCTGTTGTCATCACAGGGCTGGATGTCCACCTCTTTATGGGTCCAAGTAAGGGAGATAACACTCTTTCCTCAATTTGGTGTGTCTGATAACTTCCTGGTTATCCTGATATAATTTTAATACACCCATTTATCCCTAAGGTCTCAATTTACCCTGATAAATTTATAAGGCGGCACCTTTTCTACTCCCAGGAATAAGTTATTTCTGAGTCTGTGCCTCCTGAGTTGCTGGACAGATGGTTTCACTCACAGTCATCCAGGGGCACGGCCATCCGCTGTCCTCAAAATGGAGTTAAAATCTGCTTGCAAAGTGGAGTCTCTCACTGGACTTGGTGGGTGCCCCTCTTTAATCTCATCACTCAGGAGACAGAGGCAGAGGCAGGCAGATTTCTGTGAGATTGAGGTCAGCCTGATTGGCATAGCAAGTTCCAGGCCAGCTGGTGCTCCAGAGATCTGTCTCAAAAAACAAAGAAACAAAGAAACAAACAAATGAAATCTTTCAAGGCAAGGTATAGTCTGAAAAGCCACTGCTTTAAACAATGTAGAGAACAGTGCAGTCTGATCTCCACAGACAGGAACAAACATCTACTTAGGTCTGGCAGGGTACTGGCAACAGACCAGAGTCACAATTCCGTAAAAGTCTAATTGGGTGAAACAATGAATTTGTCGAGCTCACTTACAAAGCATGGGTGAGGGGTTATTTATAGGAACCTGGTGACCCCAACACAGCTGTATCACTGCATAGTCCCACCCCACCATGAACTCCCCTTTTCTGTTAACCTTCGTTTCCTATGCACTCAAGCATTTCCCAAGACCACTTGCAGTTGGAGGAGGGCAGAAAGGCATAATGGCTGGACTCCCAGGTGTGAGTCCTGTGACCCTCTGCTCCCTCCTCCTTCTAGGAAGTGTTAGTAACAATTAGTTGCTATGGCTACCAGACCAAAGTCATCTGTATTCCAAAATGGCCATGTGATGATCAGGTTATACCTGGTGGACAAAAGCTGTATTATAACAGAGTGGTGCAGAATCTTCCCAGCTTGGATAGGAGAAATCTGTGGCTTCCAGGCTCTGGAGATGGCTGTGAAGGACATATGGGGAGGGGCTGACTGGTGTAGGAGTAGCTGATCTTGAGTAAGAGGCTCAGTAAAGGTGAAAACATGAGCGTTTTCTCCCCGTGCTCCATAAATCGGGGAGAGCCAGCAAACAGGTGGGGGAGCGATGGAGGGGGTAGATAGATGGATATCTTTTTTTCCTACTGGCCTGCCACCTGGCCTCCCAGTGTCACCGTGAGGTTTGCGGGGAGGGAGAGAAGTGGGTAGGTTTGGGAGAAAGGTGCTGAGCTGAATGTTCTTAAGCCGTAGGCAGACGGGCAGCACAGCATGGTGGGGGCCTGAAGCAAGAGGCTTCATTTCTACCAGACAAAGGAAAGGCTTTAAAAGTTTCTTGGGGAGGGGGAGATCCTGGACCATGTGGAAGCAGACTTAGTTAATATGTGATCTATGCTATGTGCCTGTAGTCAGGTTGCCTCTGATTCCCAGGCAGGGGAGAGGGGGAGAGAAGTCAGCTCTTTGTGAGGTCTGTGAGGGGAGAGAGAGACTGCAGGTACTGTGAGGGTTCCTCAGAGCAGCTGGGTGTGGCCTATAGGCTCTCTACAGCATCTATGAGGGGAGAGAGACTGCAGGGGGGTGGGACCAGATCTGTGAGGCTTTTCCCAGCAGTACCTGGAGGGTCTGGGTTCTAACAGTCACCATGTCTATCTAGGCCCAGCATGACCCTGGACAGGAAATGAAATTCACTTGAATTAGTGTTATTTATTACTTAGATTTCTTTACATGTTTTCCAGTTTTGTCAGTACGCAGAAATATTTATGAACTTAGGAGAAGTGAACGTATTTTATTTAAAACTTTGTTAGTTTGCTTTAAAAGTACTTTAAACTATGTAGATGTGGTGTGTGGTGTCTGTTTCTTGATCTGAGAATACAGATGTAGGGAGGGAGCCTGCCCCACAGCTTAAGATAAAGGAATACATGTCCTCCATGGCTAGGCCATGTAACCCCTGGCCACAGGTGGCTAAATTAAATGTGAGTTATTTCAGAGTTAATAAAAAGGACTTGGTTTATTCAGTATCAGTAGCCAGATCTCTCTTCCTTTCCTTCTCCGCTTCCTCTGTTCTGTCGTTTCCTCTTCCCTAGTCTCCTCCTTTTCTTTGGTTTTCTTTCCTGAAACCTGCAACCTCCCCCACTTCCCTTCCCTCCCCCCACCGCTTCCTCCATCCCCCACTCCCCTTCCTTTCTCTTCCCTCCCTTCCCTGCTCCTTCCTTTCTCCTCTCCTTCCTTTCTTTTCTTGAATTGTTTTTTTGAGGTGGTTTCATTCTGTAGCCCAGACTGGCCTGGAACTCACTATGTAGCTCACCTAGGCTGGTCTCAGACTCATGGCAATCCTCCCGTAGCCTAGCCAGGTGGCCAACGCTGTCATCACGAGTGGCTAGAACAAGTCTGGAATGCTTCCATGCTGCCCTGGAATATGGAAGAGTCCGTCAGCCACCCACGATGCCATGACGGGTGTGTGAGCTCCAACCTCGGGTATTGGGAGGAACAACTCAGAGCCACCAGCACTTACCATTCTTCCTGATTTCTCTCCCTCCCACAGCTGCCAAAGATCTGGTGAAACATTTGCTGGTGGTGGATCCCAAGAAGTGGTACACGGCCCACCAGGTTCTTCAGCATCCCTGGGTTGAACTGGCCAGACATCCCAGCACAGCTAACCCACAGAAGGAGGGACGCCCCAGCAGTGAGGGTCACCAGAGCCAGCACAAGAGGCTTTCAGAGCAGGTGTCATAATCCTGCCTTGGATGTTCGTCCAGCGTCAAGGACAGAGAAGAGGCTGGAAGTCTGTAAGCAAGACAGTGGGAGACACTTCCTCACATAAGAGGAGGAGGAGAGAACAATCTATGTTAAAGCGTATTTCAGAAGCAAACTCGGGCTGGAGAGATGGCTCAGCGGTTAGGAGCACTGGCTGCTCTTGCAGAAGACGTGGGTTTGGTTCCCAGCACCCACATGGTGCCTAACGACCATCTGTAACTCCAGTTCCAGGGAATTCAATGCCCTTCTCTGGCCTCTGTGGGCATTGCATGTATGAGTGCACTTACCACCCATGCAGGCAAAACACTCATATACATAAAATAAAATTAAAAAATGGAGTTCTAACATTAAATGTTGTGCAATATTTTTAGATTTGTATATCTAAAGCCTTTAATACTTTTTGGCTAAGAATTATTATGAATGAGGAATTTTGGTAATAATGATGAATTCTGCTTCCTCCTTGTAATCAAGTTCATGGTGGGCTACATGAATGGTGCTTCCCAGCTTCTGAGTTCCCCCATGTGTTGAATGAGGTGAATCAGGTTTTTTTCTATCTCTGGGAACACACTGAATAACAGAAGGGGATCTGCAATTCTTAATTTTGGTGGTGGGGGCTAGGGAAGATAGTTCAACACAGATGTGTTCTAAGCTTTGACAGTTGTGTGGCACTTGGTAGCCCCAGTGGATAAATTCCCGCTTCCATCTCAGAACAACAAAGAGAACAAGAGGTTTGGGTCTATGAACTTAAATTCATAGGAAAAAAAAACATACTTATGTTGTAGGGTCTGCATCTTCATGATTGTGGAGAGTTGGAATGTTAAAGATTGAGAGCCAGATTTATCTTGGGCTATCTTTAGTTGCCCTAGTAGCTATCTATCACCAAACTCTGCATCTGACCTAACAGATAAAGCCTTTGGAATATATTAACTTAGCAGACCACTAGCTTCTACCAACCCCAAAGCTAAGAATGTTATGACGTCTGAAGCCTATGGAAGAGATTTCCCTGCTTTGCTGTAACCCGCCTACTGATTCCATCAGCAATGTATCTGGCAAATGCATCGATTTATGATTTCGTTTTATCCTGTGATTTAAAGAAAGTCATGTAACTGTTTCTACAATGGAATATATCATATAGGAGAACTTGAATCTGTATTGTTTGGCTCAGAATAAATAATTTCTTACTCTGTTTAGAGCAAGAATTGTGTTTTGTGTTGATCATTTTCAGCCAGATTCATAGATGGAGAAGTTGGGGCTCACTGTCTGAAACTTATAGTCACCTTGGATCTCAGGGATCATAAATCCTCCTGGGAAAGACCATGACTCAGCTGAGGGCACTATCCATGAAGGTGAGGCTGTACTTCGGAGAAGAAATAATCAAGTGATGGCACCACTAACAACCTCTTTGGACCATTTTTCAGGACCTGGGCTGAGACGACGATGTGACCACACTTGACCAGGACTGCTTGATTAAACATACCTTTTGCCCCTGTAACTCCAGTTCCAGGGGATCCAATTCCCTATTCTAATTTCTGTGGGCATAGCACAACATAGGAACACTTACATACATGCAGGCAGGACACACACACATTAAAGAAAGGATATGGTTTATTCTCATAACAAATATGAGTACCTATGAACCAGGAACATGGATTGAGATCGCCCTGGATATCATATTTCAATGTTTAGAAACAATTACATGTTTTTACAGTTACAGAACACCTCCCCCCCAAAGCCATAAATCAAGGCATTTCTCATGTAGGCCTCATCAGCAAAGTGGGGAAATCCTTGCTATGGTCTCATGCTATCTGATACCATTAGTTTTGGATTGACTAGTGGTTTGCTAAGTTAAAACACCCCAAAAGATTTTACCTGATTGTCAACACAATGTTGGGTCAGACCCAGGGATGGGCAACGAATGGCCATTAATGGGCCATTTCATCCCTCCATTCTCCTGGACATTCTTTTTTTTTATTATTTTTAAAATTTTTTATGTGTACAAGTGTATTGTGTGCATGTATGTGAGTGCATCCATGTCATGAAATGCCATGGAGGTCAGAAGAGGGCTTCGGATTCCCCTGGAACTGGAGTTAAGGATGGTTTGTAGCCGCCATGTGGGTGCTAGGAATCGAACCCGGGTCCTCTGCAAGAGCAGTCAGTGCTCTTAACTGCTAAGCCATCTCTCCAGTCCCACTCCTGGACATTCTAATGAACCAATCAGCCTTGCGGAATCTTTAACATAGGTGTGACTTTAACATACGTTGTTTTGGGGAACTTCTCACCACACTCTTGCCACATACCCTGAGAACCAGCTTGAATGGAGGGAAAGGGGAAGGGGAATCTTGTAGTCAGAGAGGTGTGGACTCTGAGTGAAAGGCGTATTTAGGACAGTGCTAATACCTGTGCCTCTCATACCACAGAGAGAACTGAGCTGTGGTTTGCGATTTGGGCAGATACACATAATGGAAGACTCTGCTCTGCACTATGTCACCACAATCACCTGCAGCAAGTTTGTGTGTGTGTGTGTGTGTGTGTGTGTGTGTATGTGTGTGTGTGTGGTGTGGGTGTGGGTGTGCAGGTATCATACATATGGAGGCTGGAGGACAACCTCCATTCACCTTATTTTAGATACTGGCCTAGAACTCACGAAGCAGGTCAGCCTGGCTGGCTAGTGAGCCCCTGGTATGTGCCTGTTTCTACCTCACCAGCATTGAGATTGTAGGTATGTACCATCATGCCCCGCCTTTTACATGGATTCTGGGGCTGAAATTCAGGTCCTTATGCTTGTAAATTGGCAAGTACTTTACTAACTGAGCTGTTACCTCAGACCACTTTCAGCAATTACACAGAAACTCTGCTCAGATTTATGCCTATAGAGGTGAGGCCAATCAACTAGAAAAATCACCACAGAAATGCAGCAACCCACAATCCTGACATCTTGCCTTCATGTTTCTGTACTCCTTTGAGGCTCAGCTCTCTACTTTCTGGCTGTGGTCACTAGCTGCTCTGTACCTTTGTACTCCTTAAAAAACAGAAGCAAAGACACATTTTAAAAAAAAAACCAAACCTGGAGTATCCTTTTGCCCAAAGAGATCAGTGAATGTGGTTCTATTTTTACAGAAACCCCAAAGCCAAACTTGGGATCAAAGTGAGCAAGGGTGATTCCTTTTATTGTGTTCTTCTCTTCAAAGCTCTTTCCAGGGGGGAAATGCCAACATCGGGAGACAATCCCAGGTTGGGCAAGCCAGCAGAACGTTCTGCCATTCTGCCTGGGATCAAACAGGTTCAGCTCTGCACCTGCCAAAGGGCCACTTTGGGCTGCTTGGCTTGGCTCTCTCAGCCTCATAAGCATTGCTCAAGGGCCAAACACTAGTGTCGTTTCTCAGCCTGCTCTTTGAAAATGAAGGGGGCTGTTTACTCCATGTGAGGTGACCCAGAGTCCCTGGCTGGCTCTGGTACCATCTGTGGTTCCTGGCTCATTTGCCAGGCTTTTCTTTGCTCTTTTCTCTCTTCCCCCTCCTCTCCCCTCTCCTCTCCTCTCCCTCCTCCCTTTCCCTCCTCTCCCTCTTCCTTTTCCCTCCTCCCCCTCCTCCTTTTCCCTCCCCTCCTTTCTTCCCTTCTTCCTTTCCTTTTCTCCCCTTCCCTTCCTTCTCCTTCCCTCTTTCTGTCTCTTCTTCTCTCTTTGCTCTCTCTCCCTTTCTTTTAGAAATAGGATCTTACTCTGTAGCCCAGAGAACTCGCTATATAATCCAGGCTGTCTGTTCTAGTTTATTTCTCCATTGCTGTGACAAAACACTCTGACCACTACCAACTTGGAGAGGAAAGGGTTTGTCTTACATCCCCTGGGTCACAGTTCATCACTGAGGGAGCTCAAGGTAGGAACTCAGGGCAAAAGGCAGGAGCTGAAGCAAAGGTCATGGAGGAATGCTGCTTACTGGCTTGCTCCTCTGGCCCTCACTTAACCTGCTTTCTTTTTTTTTAAAATTTAAAAATATATTTTATTAATTATTTTTTATTTTGTGTGCATGAATATGTATTGCCTGCATGTATCTGAGTGCACCGGTGTCGTGCAATGTCACGGAGGTCAGAAGAGGGCTTTGGATTCCTCTGGAACTGGAGTTAAAGACGGTTCATAGCCGCCACATGGGTGCTGGGAATCAAACCTGGGTCCTCTGCAAGAGCTCTTAACCGCTGAGCCATCTCTCCAGCCCCTCAAC